TATTGTTCTGATATGGACCATCGAACACATCCAGTCATGCATCAGCTCAGATGGTCTGACTGGAACTATGCCATGTTTTTGACGTGTGTAATGGTGAACTCTGTGTATCAGTGTTGTGCATTTGTATTGGCCGGCACAAGTGACGTGAGCTGTGTGGAAAAGTCCATTTAAAATAGCATTAATGAAGTAACCAGGTGATCCGCGGTCAAAAACACACTCTCATCGTCTCTCTCACTCAGTCATTTAGTGGTCAGTGCTAACTCTCTCTCTCTTTGTCTGCTCTTTCACACTCTCACCCTCTTTCTCATTCAGTGTGTGTGTGAGCAAGTGTCACCATATGACAGCCTGTCTCTGCCTAATTCAAACCACCTGCCTTAAACAGAGTACTTTTGTGCTCCATACAAAAAAAGACTGTGTCTGTGTGTGTTGTGGTGGGTAGAGGGGAGTATTTAAACTTTCAGCAGCTCCAAAAATAAAAATAGGCTTTTAAAAACAGGCAAACCCTTCTAAACCAATGACTCCTGGAGCTATAGAGTCAGTTCCAGGCTATGTATGTGTGTGTGTCCTTCCCAGTGGATAGTTATGAATAGTTGTATTATTACAGAGCAAGATCTACCTGAAAGACTCGTACAGTTCATATGTGAGGAATTCTTCACATGGCGAGCTGGAGTGTGTGGGCAATTTTCTTTTTTTTTTCTTTGTGTTGCAATCGTAAATACATGTTTGGTTGAATTGCATTCAGTGTTGCAGAGAGAACTGCAGGTTTGTTTATTGCAGAGTAACAAACTTAAAACAAATGTAAATAGCCAAAATGTTATGTCTTATATAAGAGGAATTTTTTTTTTTTTTTTTTTTTTTTTTATAGAAAGATGCATTTTCCCCCCCCCCTTTGAATAATAATATAACAAGTTAATAAAACAAGTCAACTTTTTATTAAATGTTTTGTTATTAATGTTTTTACGTTGGTTTTTACTTTACAATTAAAGTAAACTTTTTTTGTAATACTTTTTTCTTTACTTGCTTTTAACTTTAGTTTACTTTTTTTTTTTGTCCCAATTATGACTATATTAAGAGTATGCATATGTTTTTATAGGCTACCAGTCCGAAATTTGCACACACTTTTTAAGTAGTTTTGGGCTAAATTGGTTACTCCATGATCTTAAAATTATTTGATCTAAAAGCTTAGTTTTCATAAAAATTTTGCGTATGTATGAATTTCTTTACAAAACAGCACATTTTTTTAAATGCATGACATTTACAGAACTGTGATCTAGACCGGATGGCTACTTTGAAGAAGATTAAAATTATAATTGGTTTTACTACATAATTCCCATACCTCAATTAGTGCTGTATCATAGTTTTGACAATTTTCCTTTTTTTTTTTTTTTTTTACTTAGGTGAAAACAGTAATAATGAAGAATGTGTAGGAGTGTTCAGAATATTGACTGGTAGTGTAGTTACGTAAACGTTTATAACATTTCCCCTTGGAAAATTAGCCACCCAGGTAATGTAAATTGAAATTTGTGATTGGATGCATATGGTCATATGACCAGTGATTGCATAATATGACGTCATTTATAATTCCAAAACTTAAGATGATTTGAATATTTCAAGATACTTCATTCAAAAGTGCCTGCGGGGAAATACACACGCGCAGGTGCATAAAAACAAAAGGGCCATTGAGGCCGAGAAGAGGATGTCATCACAGTTAATCCTTTGTTTTCTCTTTCACCTTCTTTTAAACTCACCTCTCTCTCATCCAAGTTTATGTTTGCCTGCATGGACGGATGGCAGGAGGAACACTCACACAGATTCAAAACAAACTGGCATACATGTAATTTTTGGAAAGCTCAGAGACGCCTTGATTCACCAGAGAAGGAAACTTCCCTTGAACCTCACATTTTGCTCTACCTCTGTGACCCTTTTACCGAGCTTTAAAGTGATCATTTAAACAGATGTATGCGTGTGTTTACCGATCCATGCACAGGTCCTGGATCAGATGGTCATTTTTGTGTTTGGCCAGTGTTGAAGGGAATTGACCTAAGCCCTGGCGCTGGACTGAACAAGCCTGTATAACCTTCTTTCTTCTGTCAAACACAAAAAATATATGATGGGTCCAGTGTTGCTTTGGACCTCATCGACTTTCAGAACATAGGCAAAACAGTTTAAACATTCTTCAAAATATCTTGTTTTATGTTTCACAGGTTTGAAATGACATGAGGGCGGTAAAAAAATATGGCAAGTTTCATTTTGGGTGAACTATCCCTTTAAGACTTAAACATTTTTTTTTAAATAAGTTACTTTTTCTAGCCAGATCAAATCACATTTATTTATAAAGCAATTAATATTATTGACCTAATTTATTAAGATCAAGCAGATCAATTTTTGTTTCAATTTTTGTTTCAATTATAGTGTAAGTAAACACTGAAAATATTTAAATTGTGTAAATTGTTCCTTTAAAATGGGATTTAAAATCATCAGTAGAAGGAGAGGATCTAATATGGGGCGGCAAGCTATGAGGCGTGGGCCGCAACAGAGAGGCACGATCATCTTGGAACCGGCAAAAACAAGTTATTTGAAGACCTTAGAGGCCTAGGAGTATGATATTGTGGGACAAAAGCACATACGAGTTACCGAACCATGTACACAGATGATGAAAGCATCTTCTTTCTTTTTCTTTTTTATACACAAAGTTTGCACATTTGCGGCTGAAACGGCCAGAGAGCCTCAGAGCGTCCAGACCCCTCCTATAACGCCAGAAGAGAGTGTGTGTGAACAGGAAGGAAGGGGAAGGGAGTTGTGCTGCAGGCCTCTCAGCTGTCTCTCACAGCGCTAATGATCCTTGGAGAGAGGCGTGAGGGAGGAATGGAGAGAAAAGGACGGAAAGCAAGGGATGTTAAGACAGATACAGTATGAGCCAGGTTTCAGTTCAGAATATTTTTCCTGTTGGATACATTTACAGTGGCGTTAAACCACCTCACATTTCACAAAATTCCATGCTGACAAATCCAGAAAGTTGCTGAATAATAATGGCTTTCAGGAATGAATCAGTTAAAGTGCTTCACTTTGCCATCAGTGTGAGAAAGAGAGAAACAAAAGAGTGAAAAATCCAAGAATGCTGTTTGCGGTGACTAAAATAAGAACAGAGAATGGTGCAGACCATTTCCTCCCTTCACTTGACCTTTATGTCTGTCCCTCTTGTTTTCTCTTCAGTCTTTCTCTCTCACACATAGACACACTGTTACCGCTATTACATGTAGGTTTCATCATTTAGAAGCTGTATTGGTGAAGATGGAAAGCTTTGTCTTGACCTTTGACCTTACCTGGTGTCATCATGGTCATTATTACATATTTTATGTGTGTATACTCCGGAATCAGCACTCACAGCACCAACTGACAGTAAAATCTTTGTATTACTTGCCAATAAGCATGTACTTTTATTAGGAATTGCAACATTTTTTATTAGGAATTGCAACATTATATGGTTTATGTCAAACTGTAAGAAGCTTGATGTCAGTGACACGCGTCTTCTAAAGAAAACATCTGTCGTGACTAACAACTTGTACCTCAGGGGAAAATGTACTGTCAGACATTCATCTTCTCCAGAACCCTGTGACAACACATACGTGAATATACCTCAACAAAAATATGAGGAACAGCATTGCCGTTTGTTGTCTTCATGTTTTTGTGACGCATACCAAAAGCTGTGAATGACACAGTGACTTGAGCTATTTGTCACAAGTATGCAAAGACAGAAGAAAAAAAATCTGCTTGCACAGACTTCAATATTTAATAAAACCGCAACATTTCTACATTAGGCATTTTTACTTGCCTGCAACCATTCAGGTGTGTCAGGGGTGTTTATGTATTGCACTTAATAAAATAATGTGAAATAACAGTTTATTGGTCAGTGAAAAATGCATATTTATGGCTAATAAATTTTCTCACTTATGCTAAAAAATTAATTTTGGATCTCTACATGTGTGTGTTAAGGGAATTTCTACATTTCAGACTAGACTAAATCAAACAGAGCAGCTCTGAACACGATCTTTATCCTTCGCAGTGGGTGTTTAGTGGTTTGTGATGTAGAACAGTCATTTTTAATTAACCTACAGATGTTTAAAATACAGTTTGATTGCTTAGACTTTGTGCTGTGCTAAAATCCAAAGCTGTATCCATCAAAATGCTGTGTGAGTTCCCTCAGTGTTTCATTTTATGGTTTTCTCTTTCTGTCTGTCTGTCTGTTATCTCGTTTGAGAGGTTTTTTTAAGTGAGTGCAGCAGGAGTGAAATATGAATGAGTTGGGCGGCCAAGTGCGGCGCTCCCACTGCAGCGTATAAAACGTGCTGATGGGGTCTTTATCCCTCCATCAAGCTGAGGGGAAGAAAAGAGCACAGTCCTGTCAAGGGAACGGGGCGATTCTCCGGCCAACTGGCTAAAAGCTAAGGCCCTGGAGTCCGAAAATGTGTATGAGAGATAGAAAGAGGGAGCTAAAGCCAGAGAAAAAAAGACAAAAGGCTATCACCCATTGACCTCTTGGCAAGCATTCTTGATTTAAGTATCTCACCATTTATTTCTCCAAAAGCACTCTCTCTTTCATCTAGATCACTATGTAGATGTAGTCTGTGCTTTTGTGTCATCGTGTAGTGGTTGTATGGACTTGGGAACTCTGTGCTTTATTCCCACAATTGGCATCCCATGAGGCCTAGTGTTGACGTCAGGATGGGGACAGCCATGTGTGTTTGTGTGTTGGGGTGTGTGTATCGTAACCACATAAAAGCATATCCTACTGGGAGCAGATGTGTCTGTGTTGAATCTGTGTCGTGTGTATGCGGGGGAGTCTTGATACTTGATCACAAATGTGAACCTGAGAAAATAAAGCTTTTAGTTTTGATACTGTTATATGAAGTCATCATATTGATATGATATCATCAATCACATCTGAAATGGATCGTACGTCATAATAATGATATTGATCTTGATGTTTCTGTTTGTTTTAGGCGATGTGGCTGATGTTGCAGCAGGAGGAGCCTATCGATTTTGTCATTGCGACGGGGGAAGTGCACAGCGTACGGGAGTTCGTTGAGAAGGCCTTCAAACACGTGGGCAAAACCATTGTGTGAGAGCACACGCGCACACACACACACACACATCTACCTCAGATTAAGCCTATTTGGTTAATCTGGCACATCTGGTGTTGATTCGCCGACAGGCTGTACAAGACCACAAAACAACATGCAAGCACACCATAAATATTGTAAATATGTAACGCATATGCTGACAGCTGAATTGAAAAACAAATAAAATGAAGGCATGGGTTCAAAGCTCAAGTTCTCGCACTTAGGTGGGAGGGGAAGAATGAGGAGGAGGTGGGCCGATGTCAGGAGACGGGAGAGATTCATGTGAAGGTGGATCCGAAGTACTATCGGCCAACTGAAGTGGTAAGGCACTGCAAATATCTTCCCATGTATTAAAAGATCATAACATCCAAGGTGCCCTTAGGAGGTGAGACATTACAAAATGTCATGCATAGACTACTGTACAATAAGTGTTGACATCTCCTAGATATGTGATGAGAATGTTTTATTTATTTTATTACATCATTAGACAGCTGTTTGTTTCAATATTGTTCATAGTGACTTATAATCCATTAAATCAGCAGCATTCAAATCTCTAGAGAGGATTTGAGGGCGTTCACATAGGACACGTTCTTTCTTTATAAAAAAAACAGCTAGCCATTGCATAACTCAATGGAAGGGGTCTTGCGACTTTTTGAAAGAACTTGTTTTTAACTTGGCGGAACTTCTTAAAAATGTGTCGCTTAACATACAACAATTCCCCAAATAAGCCAGACCCAATGTGTTGGCCAATTATGCTGTGTTGTTTATTTACACTGCCATTAAAAAGTTTGGGGTCAGTAAAAATAATACTTTCATTCAGCAAGGATGCTTAAAATTGTGAAAAACTGCATCATAGTTTCCCCAAATATATTAAGCAGCGAATCAACATTGATAATAATTAGAAATGTTACTTGAGCACCACATCAGCAATGTTTTCTGAAGGATCATGTGACCCTGAAGACTAGAATAGATTACATTTCAAAATGTATTCAAATAGATACAAGTTAATTTAAATTGTAATAATATTTCACATAATTACTGTTTAAACTGTTTTTGATCAAATAAATGCAATCTTGGTAAGCATAAGAGACAAAACATCTCTTCGTCAAACATCAAAATATCGCAAACTTTTAGACAGCAGTGTATGTGCGTAGTTCAACAATTAAAAAGAAATATATATTTTTCTATGAAGTACTCAAGTAGACAAGATGATTAAAATGTCTGTCCTTACCTGACATGTAGATGTCAGATTGTGTGTGTGTGTGTGTGTGTGTGTGTGTGGTGGGTGGTCATTCAGGAATGAGAAAGGGCACTAAATCTGTAAAGAAAACATGCACATGAAATGACAGATCAGAGGTTTTCTCCAAGACACATGTTTACTGCGTATGGGTCAGAGGGGTGTTTCCAAGGACCTATTTCAGTTAGAAGAAAAAATAACAAAGGTAAGACAGAAAGAAAAAGAAGTGCAAAAGAACCAGTGCAGAAAGAAAGAAATCTGTTATTCGGGTATAAAGCTATTAAATATTTTTGGTATCAGGTTTTTGATGACCTCCCAATGCTGTTACATAATATCAGCCCAGGATACTTAAAGACACTCTAAAAGGCATAAACCGAACAGGCCATCCATCAACACAGAGGCGAAATGGGAATTTGACCTTTAACCTCTGTGATAGAAAGTAAATCACTGCATTTCCTCAGGAGGCAGGAGTGTCAGTAGGGGACGCACTTACAAGGATGAATGAGAGCGAGTGTGTGTATTTGCGATAGATTTACTAATGCGTTGTCCACAGGCTACATGTGAACATGTTTGAAAATCTGTTGGATGAAGCCTATAAGTAATCAAATAGCTTTTTCTGGCAGAAACAGAATAGAAAAAGGATCTTACTTTAATTTCAAATGCGTAATTATGTTTGCCAGCACACACACACACACTTGCTTCGCCTGAAGGGAGTAACTGGATGAAATACACACCTATTAATAGGAAAGCAGTGGGCTGAATACGCTACCTGTTTATCCAAAGAGACCATCGTCAATCGTCACATGAAATGTGTGTGTGTGTGTGTGTGTGTGTGTGTGTGTGTGTGTACACACACACATATATATATATATACTTTTAAACAAACATTTAATTATAATAATTTGAAGAAGAAATTATTCAAAATTTGATTATCTTAATTCATTTTCTTTTTTCCTTATTCTTTTATTTCTTTATCATCATAATAATAATAATAATAATAATACTTTGATAGAAAATCCTCTGAAATTGTTTTTTATTTTAGTTATTTTATTATCGTTGCTGTTGTAATTAATAAGAATACTATAATATAAAATACTTTTGTGAATTTCATTTTTAAAAATTCATTTTTTAAAGTACCTTTGATTCCAGTAATGGTAATAATATATACTTTAAAATATAATAATAATAATAATAATAATAATATGAAGATAAATAAAAATACTTTATTATTTTATTAGTTCATTTTCTTTTAATTTTCTTATTCGCTTATTCTCTTATATCTTCTTCTTTTTCATAATAATAATAATAATACTTTGATAGAATATCCTCTGAAATTGTTTATTTTTGTTATTTTATTATTGTTGCTGTTGTAATTAATAAAAATACTATAATAGAAAATACTGTTGTGATGATAGAAACTGTTTCTTAACTTTTTAATTTGTATTATTTAATTTTACTTATTATTTCTCTCTTATTTCTTATTTTTTGTTAATAATAATAAATAGCTTTTTTGACAGTTTAGCATTCAACGCTATTTAGACTGTTCGATATTTAGAGAATGGACAGCCAGTGTTTCCTTAGCCTTATACTCATGAAACTACTTCAGACATTTACATTTAATGTATTTATCCAAAGCAAATTACAATGCATTTAGGGTATGTCAGTATGTGTCTTCCCTGCAAATCAAACATATGACTGTGATGTTGATATTACATTATAAGTAGGCAGACAGTATAACTGACACATGTGCACTATTATGATGTATAGATCTGTGTGCTGTGTTTACGTAGCATGTAAGCGCATGCATGTTTTTTGGTTTCTGTTGGAATGAAAGGTGGCTTTGACCTTTCACTCCAAGGATCAGGATGGGGTGATCTTATCTGCGCTGTGGCAGAGGTCAGGAGCGAGATAAAAAGCATCCTGTAGTGAGCAGCACACACACACATGGAGGCCCTCACTCTGTGAATGCAGGAGTCTGTCTTATCTGACCCATGTTGAGCGTCATAGTACCAGCATGCAAAACACAGCTGCATCATCACTTACCTGCAGCTTTGCTTTTAATTTGAATGCAAGATCCATTTTATTTCAGGCTCAAGCTTAGTGGCCAAACCTGCATGTTTTTGTGTGTTTTTAGATTTATGTGCTTGTTGAAGGCAGGTTCCCCACCTTAAGCGGAGCTTAAGCCTCTGTTGTCTGTCGTGATGCTTTATGGGTAGTGCAGTCTTTAGGGTTTTCTGGGTATTATAGTTGCTGTGGTTGAGAGGCTGGCTCTTTGTGACAGCTTTACGGTGATATGCAGTGTAATAGGTCAGAGTTGTTAAAGTTGAGTGTGAATGATGTTGTAAAGATTCTGGCCGGTTGCCAGGTAGAACTCAAACCTGCAATAAAGCCGCGCTCTTACCGTTCAGCTTTTCCTCATGATGACCATATATACATCCACGTTTATTTCCATCACACTTTACAGTAGAGCTTAACTCACTTTCATAACGTTACATGGCACTTTTTACCTCGCTCCCCGGGACTTTTTTTTAACCGTGCTACTCTGTCTTGCAGTCCGTTTTTGTCGAGAGAGAGAGAGACCAGAACTAAAAAAATAAAGAGGGAGAGAGGGGTGTAGGTTCTCCCCTGGCCTACTCTCTGGTATTTCCTGAAGGACTTTGACTGAGCGGAACCACCCTGGGCCCCACGGAGGGGAAAGAGAGAGAAAGAGCTTTTAAAAAAGAATGAGAGTTGAGAATATAACACTTAAAAAGCAAGCCAAGTGTAAAGATCCCCAGTAAACAGGTGATTTTTTTTTATATAAATTAAATGTTTAGGGAAGAAAGACATTCCCTTTTGAGCAAAAGCAGTAGAGAATGTGAAGATATTACATCACTGGATGTCTGTTACTAAAAGTTTGCAACATTTAAAGGGTTCAGTAAAAGTTAAGCTCATTTGACAGCATTTGTTGTCTAATGTTGGTTACCTCAAAAAAATCATTTCAGCGTGTTCCTCATTTTCTAAATTAAACAAATGTATAAATCAAGATTACGGTGAGACAATTTTGGAGGATTTAAAAGCAAAAATGTGATGCTTATAATTTTATAAAAGCAGTCAAATTAATTCTTCTGTTAATACTCATGTATTATATAAACTGCAAATCTGTTTAAATAATGTTGACCATTGTAGAGTTTTAGGTATTACGTTGTCATTGTAATGAAGTTGTAAAATTGTTTAATTTTTCACACTAAAACTGTCAACACACTTATTGTTTATTGTCTTGTACTATAGTAGCTGAGTATTTTACCATTTACAGATTGGCTCCATTCGCTTTCATTTAAAGTGATTTTTTGTTTAAGAAAAAGAGGGACGAGTCGAATTTTATTTTTGTGATGATCAACATTTTACCACTAGTGCTGTCGACTTTGATGAACTTATATTGAACCTGGAACAGTTCTTTAAACTAGGTTGAAATCAGATGCAACTAACTAGATTAGTTACTTAAAGTAAAATGAGCAATTCACTCTTTTACGTAAACAAGCCTGTTCATTTGGAGGGATCAAAACAATCCTGTGCTATATTAGATCAGAAAACGTTTTTTTCTTCCCAGCAGGTGTCTTTGTGTAAATGCGAAAAAGTGTGTTAACTTGTGTACCAGTGTTGGGTTTGTTTGTGCCATGTGTCATAATTACATCTTGGGTGTGTGTGCGCGCGCGTTCGCACTTTCACGGCTGTGTGTAGTGGGAGAGGGGAGGTTAATTGTGGGCTGCCCTCTGTAAATGGCATGTCCCAGGCTCGTTATCTTGATTGAGTAATTAACTCTGGCTCTCGGCACTCTTACTCTCGCTGTCAGACTGCTGAACTCCTGACACCTCGCATTCCTCGCTCCCTCTCCCTCACGCTTTCTCCTCTCTCACTCTTTAACTTTCACACAGCTCTTCTCTCCGAGCTTTCAATTTATCATAATTTTCCTTTCTCTCCATGTCATACCTGTCTCCGTCCTCTCTCTCCTCCTCTTCTCTCACTCTCGATCACTCCAGACAAGACTCCTTTTTTTATTACACACATGTGCAAGGAGCTCATGATAATAATTCTAGTAGTGTTAAAGTGATAGTTCATTTAAAAATAAAATTCTTTCATCATTTACTCACCCTCATGTTGTTGCAAAACTGTGGGACTTTCTTCTATAGAACACAAAAGTTGTTTACTTCTTTTTGTACATTCAATGAAAGTGCATTCCACTGTTGTTTTGGAGCCCGATATCATCTTTTGTGTTCCGCAGCAAAGGAAAAAGTCAGAACAGGATTTTTATTTTTGGGTGAAACTGTCTTTAATTGAGCTTAATGTGTATATTGTGATTTCGGTTACACTGTATAAAAAAAGAAGTGAAATTTACAATAAAAATTTCATTAACTGATATAGTGTTAATATACCAACCTACCGAAGTAGCACTAAAATCGGTTTTGTATCTTTATAATGCAAACAACCACCAAATACACTAGTGGTAAAGAGAAAACCACATATAGAATATACATACATAAATGCATATATATTTAAGGTGAACATAATGTCATACACAAAGTACATAGAACACTGAACAACATCAGGTGTCACAAAATCTGAATTTAAAAAAAAAATTTTTTTAAATGAACATCTAATAAGAAAAACTAAGAAAGAGTTACTTCAATGAGATTCAGATTTTTCGGCATTGTACTCCATCTCTTTTACGCATGAAAAAGATGAAATCATTTTTTTTTATATATATATATATTAATTTTATATATACAGTACCATTCAAATATGTTGGTGTCAGTAAAAATGTTTTTGTAAAAACGTTTCTTAGGCTCACCAAAGCTACATTTATTTGACTAAGTATACAGGACAGTACAGTACAGTTAAAACAGTAATATTGTGAAAAATTATTACAATTTAAAATATTGTTTTTCTTTTTGAATATATTTTAAAATGTAATATTGTTTTATGATGGCAAAGCTGAATTTTCAGCATCATTACTCCAGTCTTCAGTGTCACATGATCCTTCAGAAATCATTATAATACCTGAGAAGCACCTTTAAGTGTGTGTGTGTGTGTGTGTGTGGGCGGGTGTGAGTTTTGCCATCCCAGCAGGAGAACAGAAGGGGTTAGGCCACGAGAATCACATAATCCATCATGCTCTGGCACTGAGAGAGGGTTGGAAAAGAGGGGGTGCTGGATGGATGGCCTGCGTCGGCCCTCACCTTCCCCCCGAGACACAGAGCTTGACACCTGTGTGTGTGGTGCTGGCGGTTGTATGTGGGTGTGTGAAAGTGAAGAAGAGTGTGAGTGCGTGTGTGTGTATGTGGGGGTGGGGGGGGTACAGGTTGGGAGGTCCAGTTAATAAAGAAGGACTAAACCACCCCTTTGTGTTTTTTTTTCTTCTTCGTCATAGTTTTTTCCCCAACTCACTCTTTTTCTCTTTTTCTAGGACTTCTTACAGGGAGACAGTTCAAAAGCCTTGACGATCCTGGGCTGGAAACCACGTGTGACGTTCGAGGTGAGCATTCCTGTAAAAAAAATCAAAGCGGTTCACTTCCAGTGCACTGGAGATTGAGAAATAATTGTTGTATGTGTGTATTCCAACAGGAGCTTGTTAAAGAAATGGTGGACGCGGACATCGAGCTCATGCAGAACAACCCAAATGCCTGAGCCCACACGCCTTCATCTCCATGCATGCCAAAGAGGCGGTTGTCATGTGTTTGTGTGTGTGATCACTGGAAGAAGCATTCAGCTGCATTTCTGTTCCTCTGTCTGTCGTTTTCGCTGCTGCTTCAGCTTTCTGATCTCAGTTTCACTGTGTTTTGAAGGTCCCCGCTGTTGCCTTTCTCTGTTCCTTAATACTGTCATATTTAAGATTATGTGTATGGATTTTTAGTTTGTGTTCTGTCTAAATGATTTTTATCCATTTTTTATAAAGCGGTTTTTATTCATAATCATGAAAGAAATGTATAAATAAGGGATTAAAGGGTTTGTAGAGCTTTTTAAAGCTGTTTGCTGTTTTATTCATGTGATTTCTTAAACTGAAGCGATGACATTAATTGGTTGGAACTTTAAAAATTGTTTCCTGATTATTTAAAATGCAAATACAAACTGTGACGTTTTAAAATTCAGTTGCAATGTGTGTAAAATCTCCAAAGAGTCATTTGAGTGTTTTTGTGGTTCTCAAACTTTTTTGACCCCCCAAAAAAAATGTTTATGGGGGGTCAGATTAACATAAATATGTAGGTTTACGTGTTCATTATGGTTTTAGTAGGCTACTTTATTCATGTATTTTAAGTCACTCCTTCAGACCTCCTGGTTGTGAACCGTTGGGTTTTAAATGTTTTATGTTGAAAGGTTCGGTTCTCAGAGTAGATTTGTAATTTTAAAAGCTTAAAACTTTTAAGGTGATAACAGTGTTGTTTTTACCTTTGTTTCCTATAATTTAGCCTATATGCTATTAAACAGAACAACATTAGCGATAGCAATAGAAGGCCTATAGAAAATTAGCTAATATTGCTGACTCGGTAAGCAATAGCTTGAAATTAGCTTACATGGTTACAATCAGTAAACATCATTTTGAAAATTACTGTCAACTTTTCAGTTTCATTCTCTCTCGCCTCAGAAGTGAAATACACAGTGAAATGCGTCAGAAAGCGGCTCGCGCCAGCTCTCGCGGGTTGCTCGGCGGTCTCGGAGCACAAGCGCTCTCTTGTATTCGGCGGGAAACGGGCGTCCTCGAGGCCTCGCGCTCCTTCGTTCCAGATGCTCGAGCTCGGCCCACCGCGCGCAGCTGAGGGAGCAGTAACTCGGCCTTGTAAAGCAGCTCATGTTTAATCACCTCTGACGTCGGGCGCAGCTGGGCCACTGAACCCTGACAGTGAAGACATTTCGCTGTGTGCGAAAATCCTCCGCCGTGTTTATTTGTAATGGCGACACGGTTGTCCTCATCAAAGTAACAACAGATGCAAGAGACCTCTGTCAGCGTAAGTGTCTTCAAGCGAGGAGAGAGAGACACGGTAAAATCAGTTTCTTTTAAACGACTCAAGAGGCCACGGATATTCTGCTCTATTCGAAGTGCCAAAAGAAGGTCATTTGACACCAACGTCCTAGAAAGTGGGGTCTTTGAGACCATCGTAAGACAGGCGATAGTGGGGGCGGTTGATGTATGTGAATTTGTGTTTTTGAGACGGCATCTCGAGCCAGTGGAGTGCCATTTAAGCGCCTCAAACAGCGCAGCAATGTGAGCGCGCGGGCCTGATTGGAACCAGACGGTGGCTAGCCGGTCCGCGAGCGTAAAAAGCACTTTTCCACTGGCCTGGGTCGCGGGATCTACCGCGTACAGGTGCACAGGCCGCGAGCAGCCACTAACTACCTTATGTATCCCGGCGAGTTTATTTTTACGCTTGAGCGGGGACATAGCTTCTGCTATTTTGTTTGACTACCCTGCTGATATTCCCGTAAAAGCTAGGAAACGTGAAATTCAATTGGACCAACAAATGAAAGTATAATAACAAATTTAAGGGACGTGAAAAACCTCCAAGTCAAGAATTTAATATAATGCTTTATTTATATTCTCTGTCAGTTATCTCAAAAGATTTGTAATTAAAAATGCACGGAACTCAAATGATCCTCTCTGCGACAGCTGGTTTTGCGCACTGCTCCCAAAAGTCCTGAAATGAAGTTTATTGGCTGGTTTTAATAATGAAATAGTATTTAAAAATAGGCCTATATATATATACTTTTTAAATATTTAATAATGAAATATTTAAAAAATGTATAGCAATATGGAGAATTTTATATAGTGGTATTCTGTCGTTCATTTATATTCTCTCAGTTTATTTTATAATTATATTTTATGCTGTTATATATCATATTGCATTTATATTGCTTTTATATTTCAGTGAACTTCCTCAGTATTATAATTAGTCTCACCCTTTGTTCGGTATTGTTTATTGTTTCTGTATTATATCTTGGCACAGCAGGAATTATTTGCTTTGCCAGTGTCAAGCATTTGGATTTCACTGATAAGGAACTTCCACTCACAATTTCTCGTCTCACAATTTTATCCGTTGACATTTTTGCAATCCACTCTGTCAAGGTAAACTCGTGTCTATTTTTGTGTTTATTTTTCATCGTCAAGCAGATAATCCGCGATAAGCCCCTCGACCTTTTCTCACAGTCCACGGCATTGTGTTTTCTTAAGTTTTATTTGCAATTCCGTTTTTGTCCGTGAGAAAAATGATTTTATATCATTATTATTAATGTCTAAGATTTAAACGTTTAACGTTTAAAAGCAATCGCCTTCGTCAGGTGCACGCTGCAACAAATTAGGATTAGCCTATATTGTATTGTTATAAGATATAGCCTACAAGGTTTTGAATTATTATTAAATATTTAAGTTTGATATAAATATGTAGGAAATGTTAAGAACATTTTAAATGTGGCATTTAAAGTAGCTAACATGTATCATAACACTAAAGATGTTTTTTTTCAATTGGGAGCACGGCGCTTCTTCACAAGGTTGATGGACGCGTTTATTGCTGCTTTTATTTAGCAGCTAAAAGAGAAATAAAACACATAAGATGTTAATATATATACTGTAACTTAATTGCTAACATTTAGCAAATATGTTTACTACCAACAAAATTGTTCACATTAGATGTGTTTTAGGCCGAGGTAAATCAGGCCTATAGAGTTCTAGTTTGTTGTTTGCCCTATCAAACCATTTTTCACTTTTACAGTGTTGAATATAAATAGACTAAAATTATGTAGCTTATATTTCATTGCTTTTTAATTTGATATATACTATTTTGTTTTGTTGTTCTTGTTATAATAATACATCAATATTTCTACTTAACCTACTATTAGCCTAATATTATGATAAACTACGACCTGTTTATTATAGGCTAATACAAACTGTTGAATTAGCCTACAATAAATTAGCAGCACTTCGCAAAACGCACTTAAACACTATTGAAAATTAATTGGACAGATTGTCCTGCATTTATCTCATTTAAAGAGGCCGCAAAATGTATCAGGAAATTGTGAAATATACCCATCACAGGATATCACGCATGATACACATCGATTTAAAATAAACAAACAAACACACTTCTCAGGCATGTTATGAGATCTGCATCTGGTTAAAACGTGCCACGTTAATTCCAGAAGGCTCTCTCTGCTGTATCATATTCCCCTCGCGCGCAACTCAACCTTGAAACACGCAGCTGATCACAACAAAGACACCTTTTCACTGGCGCGAGCCCCTAACACTGCCCGCGCGCAGCTGTAATGCATTTGCCACTTAAGCCCTTCATACAAAGTCAAATCCCCTCGAGCTGACCTTGCAACGATACTTACAGACTTGACGCTGTAAAGCTTATTCACAGGTTTTTTCTTTCTTTCTTACTGCCTTCTTTTTTCATATTTCTTCCTGTTTCTACTCATTTGTTTCTCTTGATTTACACTTGAGACCTATTTAAACCGTATCTGTGAATCATGCACAACCTTTAGTCACAGCGTTTATATAATCACAAAACACCAGATCATTTACGGGGCCAATTATACACCAAATAGATACAAGCACTGCACTGCACTGCACTGCAAGGCCCACAGTTTCTGCTTTCGATGACTGCAAGAAGCTTTACACATCGCTGTGCGCATCTGCATATTTAAATATTGCTGAATATGTATCAGGACAACAAATCTAAATTAGACAATTATCTTATTTCAATTGCACTGAAATGTTAAATAGAGTAATTCGTTATTTGGTTAGTGTCCGTAGGCCTATCTTGAGTTAAAACATATCGACGTATAGGCCTATTTGTTTTACATTTACTGTATGTTAAAAAAAAGCAACGCAGAAATCAACAAAGCACTAAGTCACATACCGAGTAGAATGCTTTTGTTTTGAGGTTCTGGCTGAATTAATCATTTGATTTATTAAGCCCATATTTTACATGGCTGGCTCAACATGTCTGGCCTACAGCAATTCTTTCATCTGCTGTTTATCTGCTTTTTAATCTATTATGTGTTTACAAATGAAAACTTCTATCAAAGACAATGGTTGTCTACATTCCGCAAGATTGCAAAAGTGCAGTTCACTAGTGTGCCAACATTATAAAAAGAGAACACGGCAAAAACGCTCAACTAAATAGCATAAATAAAACAAGACTGCAAGATATATCTCAGTAAAATATTTTTATCATATTAAAACTAGAAACATATTTATTCCCTATAAATATATATTTCTCTAAAGTATTAGTTAAGAAACAAATTACATAGGAACACATAGGACGTTTATCAAGTTATAAAAATTACGAACATTACTCGTTAAGAGATTTATAGGTAAACGGGGGACAAAGTCCTGTCAAATAAAGAGCTCGATAATTTTTTTAATTTACATAAAAAATTGTAGCCTATAACGCTGTATTGATCATTGAAATTTTGTCAGGTGTTTGTAATAGTTGTTATTAAACATTGTTTTTTGTTTTTGTTAGTAAATGCATTTTTAGGTTAGGAACAATTTAAAGACTCCTTGCACGCGTAAGTGAAAAAATAATCATTTCCAGATGTTTTTAAACCTTTGACCCCCACCCCCAACCCCTGTCCAAGGAATGCCTTATTAAGAGCCAAATATTTTTAGGAGGAAAATAAGAACATTGGCAAATATTTGCTAGCCAGCTATGTTTGAACAACGTTTTAAAAAGTATTCCTTGCGTTTTGTGGCCGCTAATCAATAACAAGCTCTGACAGTCATTTAAGTAAATAATGGATTCAACAGGCATTACAAATCGATAAATCACTCGAGAGTTTAACTCCAACAAGACGACAATTTATTAAACAAATAGTAACTTTAGATATTTTCAAAAGGTATAAGAAAAAACTGTAACTCGGTTGTACACTCGTTACCTTTCTATACTGAATTGATTATAAATACTTAAGACATTTCCTTGCAAA